GTGAGAGTCTGGAATACTAAGTGAACTGTACTTATGTGACTAAGGGCCCTGTCCATTCATCATTCATCCCTAATAAAACCCTGGGCACTGAGCCTCTGATGGGCTTCCCTGGGAAGAAACATTATACACATGTTGCTAGTTTCTGTTGGAGGGCCATGTACTCTGAATGAGCCTTCATGATTGGAGACAGCATAGGGAAGCCTGCATGTGGATTTCTCCAGACTCTGCCTGCGTTGTTTCACCTTCGGGTCAGGCTTTGTGTCTTCACTACATCTCTATAAATCACCTTAACTGTGATTACAATGGCATGCAAGTGCTGTAAGACCTTCTAGAGAATATTTGAATGTGGAGTAGTCTTGGGGAGCTCCAACACAAGGGAAGAATTTGCTAGATTGACCCCAAGTCACTGAAATATAGCTACAGCATTATTTGGTGGGGGATAAAGGGCAAGAAGCAGGAAATGACAAAACTCTGGTATGTGTGTGCCTATGGAGTCACCCATAGTAGGAAACAGATGCTGACTGTTGTCTGTGGTCAGAGGTGGAAGTCACTGTGGAATGTCAAAATGATATGTCCACCCCCACCCCCCTGGAGATTAAGCTTGCTGGATCCCGGGATGCTTTGGGCCATTTGAGATAAAGTGAGAAAAAATAGCTACAGTCTAGGTGATGCCTTTGTTTGTTTGTCTGTCTGTCTACCTCCTTTCTCTAGCAAAGGGGGAAACGGGTCCAAACACAAAAATTAGTTTGAAGTAGCTGTCTCTTCTAAGTGAGAGAGGAAAAAAAAAAGCTAAATCTATTCCCAGCGCTGGAGCAAGTCTTTAGACAAACCAGAGGGGGAAAGAAAGAGGAAAAAACAGTCTAGCCATTTCCTCAGACTCACTTGGACTTAGAACACAGGTGTCTGGCCCTACAGTGTCTCAGCTTTGTAGCTGCTGAGGAAGGGCTGCTGGCATTTTTGTTCTACTGAGTCCACAATTGTCTGGACCTGACTCCACGCTACAACCTGCTACTGCCTGCTATGGGCTGTTCCAGTGTCAGCAGCTGCAGAGCTGCACTGACCTGAAAGCAGGCAGAGCAAGACTCTGGGACTGCTGGGAATTTATGATACCCTTCTGCTGGGTCATAGCTCTGAAATCATGTGGTTGCTCACTGGCCTAGCTGAATCACTTACAGGTGCCCTAGGGTAAGAGCTTGTTCTCGAATAGGACCTCCTGAAAGGACGCTGTGGATGGGCGCTAGAGTTCTGATGCAGAGCCTCATTGCCGTCCTACCTCATAATTCCTATTGAAAGCTGCGAGCTGGGGGAATATGCCTCCTCTGTCCACCTCTGACTGATCAGAGTCTGGAACTGCTCTGGGATGGAACGATGTCTCACTGCTGCTGACATGTATTCTGCCTTCCAGAGTAGTTGCAGTTTGTAGCAATGGATTGATAGCCTGACTCCATTTCCCTCACCTTTCTCATGCTGCACACACCTTAGTAAGGCATTGGGACCACTCAAGGCAGCTGTCTCCAGAAGAGGATTGATTGTTTCAAGGCTGCTCACTGGATAAGTGATCAGGACAAGAGGCACAGGGGATGAGAGGATATGCAAACCCACTTTTTAAAAAAATATGGAAAAATCAGAACCTTGCCCTGACCAAGTCTTCTGAATACGATAGCTTTCTGATTAAGGTGGGTAAAAAGCGTTACTCTGTGAAAATGCTATTGTTCATCTTGCAAACACACTTCCTGACCAAAGGTCTCGGCCAAAAAAAAAAAGGAAATGATTATTAAAAAATTGTAAAGTTAGGATTAGTGAATGGGACACTCTGGCTTTGTAACAGTAGCAAAAACAAAAGTAAACCTGGGAAGTCACAGGGGAAGGACATTAATGACCTTTATTTTCATAACTGCTCCTGGAACCTTTCCCCTCTTGAAACCAAACAAGGTGGGTTCAGCTGCCCGTGGCGGCAAAAACCAGACTCAAGAGGCAGGTACTGGTGCAAAAGGAAAGAGGTTTATTCAGGTGCCATGTCACCTGGGAGAATGGCAACTCATGTCTCAAAGACCATCGCTTTCCTGCTCAAACACAGTTCTTATAGGGATAGGGAAGGGCTGGCTTTCTTTCTCTATCCAGTCATCTTGCCAGCTTTTGGCATGCTTGGGCCCTGTCCATTCATCTTTTTAGCTTTTGGCATGCTCAGTGTAAGAACCTCCCCCTGTGCCATCTTGGACAATGGGGCAGATTCCTCTGGCACTCTGATGGACTGTGTGCAGTAACACTCTTTTTTAAAAAAAATGCTTGTGCTGCCTTTGCAAGTTGCTGCAAGGACTTCAGGTTCAGGATTGCTGAGCTCAGGTGGACTATGACAATGTGACCATGAAACAGCAGGGGTAGGCCAGCTCCCGCACAGTCCCACAGAACACCTCCGCATGCCATGCACACTTGGCGGGTGATGAACTTATGTCGTAGACAGAACTGTTTGGAACTGACTGACTGTGCTTCTAAAAGCAAGGACTAAACTGAGAACACTGGGGGAAAGCTACATTGGGGGTCCTGGTATCTGGTACTGCCTGAGCAACTCATGTCCTGCTTGGTGTATAGGTTCTCGGAGAACGGAAGAAAGATACAGTTAAGAGTAAACTTTGTTTCCAGGGGACACGTGTGCCCTCATGTGCCCTCAATGATTGCACTGCTTGGGTGTGTGCCCTGACCTTTGTGACATTGCCAGACATGTGCCGAGCCTCAATTGATGCCTCAGGCCAGGTCAATAGAGAAACTTACGGAGGAAGCCACTGGGCTTTCCAAGACAGACATTTACAGTTAATGGGATGTGTTTTAGCTGGCCAAGTCCATGACCCATACAGGGCATAAGTGACATCAACACGGCAGGTTGGACTCACCCTGCTGTGTGGGGTTCCACTGATAATTCTGTCAAGATGCCTCGACCAAGGATCGAGGAAGTGGATTGAACAGCCAAGTTAACATAGCAAGACTGAGACTGCTGTCCTTAGAGTGGCCTGTTTGCAAGGTTGACCCTTGGCTGACATCTGGCAACTTCGATTTGGAGAGTGTTCCCACCTTTCCCTAACTCATAAGACTGAGTCATTGTGCCTAGATTGTGCAAACAATGGGCTTTATGCTGAATACCTGCTTTCTTTGAAATTGTGTTTGAAATTTTGGTACATGCTAAGTAGAGGGTGCCTATGTGACTAGCTCTCAGTAAAAACCCTAAACTCTGAATCTTGAAAGGCTTCCCTAGGCAGAAACTTCACACATGTTACTGAATTTTTATTGCTGGGAAGGGTGCTCTCTGTGTGACTCCTCATGGGACAGGGAGAGTAGAATAAGGCCTGCATATGGATTCATCCAGACCCTGCCTTAGGATCCAGTCATATATCCTTACACATCTTTTTAATTAAGTCTTAGCCCCGAACACAACTATATGCTGAGTTCCATGAAACCTAGCACATTTCTGAATGGAGTGGTGATCTTGGGGTCCCCTAACACAGTAACCAATGACAGTCTCAGATATTTTCTTATCACATTATACATGTTGTAGGTTATTCTGAAATTTCAATTAAATTGGTCTCTGCTTTGACATTAAGGTAGTTTGTATATCTGCCACCAGATAGTTTATTTAATGTGTTGACAAAGAAGGACATATATTATGCCACATTTGAAAATATTTAAAAAATTTAACACTTTTTAAAAAGATTTTATTTATTTTTTATTTTTAGAGAGAGGGGAAGGGAAGGAGGAAGAGAGGGAGAAAAACATTAATATGAGAGAGAAACATCAATTGGTTGCCTCTTGCATGACCTGGCCCAGAACCCAGGCATGTGCCCTGACAGGGAATCAAACCAGCAACCCCCTGGTTCACAGGCCAGCACTCAATCCACTGAGCCACACCGGCTAAGGCTAAAATTTAACACTTTTAATATGTTTTAACATATTACTTTTGCAATCCTAACTATTTTATTTGCTGTGTTATTCTGAGAGCCTGATTCTGAGATGTCTATAGGATTCACCAGACTGCCAAAAGGATCTACATGAAAGATAGCTGAGGACTCCTTGCAATGGGTCTAGATGTATTAATCACTAATGGGCAATTTAGTACCTATAAGTGAGTAAACATTTAGTGCCCTAAATTTTACCCAGAGACCATGAAGAACTAGTTCTACAGATGACATTTAAAGGGGCAGCAGGAGCCAACAATAAAGTCACTTGATGATTTCATGCTATTCTTGTTCAATGTGACGATTACATATATAATGTATCTAAAAGGCGAGATATAATTGGAGATTTATAATGATTTTGAGCTTTCTGGAACTATAGAATGTAAGTTTCTTGTTGACCTTTATTTACTGTGTGCAGAAAAATCCCAAACTAAAACTCTGAAAAGCTCCTACTTCACCCTCAGATGCCTCTATGATTACAGACTGCTGCTTGACTCTACATGTTACAAAGACAGACTTCCATACAGTTGTTGGAAGTGGAAATGAAGGCAGAGACAAGTTGACCCTCACCAGCACTGGCATGTCATAATATTAAATGCCATAATGTCATCTGCAGAGATAATCTAATTTTAGTTTATGTTAACTAGGTTTTAAAATATTTTTTGAAGTCTTAAACCATGATGAAACCTTTTGCAATCAAGTTAGTGGTTAACACTTTAACATTTATTAAAACACTATTAAAAATTTGATTTTAGCAGATTCCATGGAGAGTCACTAAACTCATGAAAACAGCTTATTAGTATAGTACCCTGTTCATTCCTTAAAGGTGTACAGAGCTATGTTACCTGTTGCAAATGTTTTCCTTCACAGTGAAGCAGTATGAAACAGGGGATTTTCTAATTGTCTGTAACTAAAGCTTTTCTTTAACTGGATACAAAAATACTATGCATGTAAAAATACTAAGAAAGTTTAGTTTACGCTATTTTACACTCTTCTACACACAGCTCCTTATCTTTTCTTCATGGCGAACTGCACTTGTGTGGCCCACAGATGCCTTTATAAATTTGTGCAGAGCATCTCCAGCATCATATCATCCATGCTGACCATGCCGATGATGGGCCTGAAGAACAGTTCAGCAATGGCATTGGCACTGATGAATCTAAGCTCAAAAAGGACACTATTCAGTTCAGCAACTCTGGCATGGAACCCCCTGTGCGTCATCCTGGTGTGTTCGCCGAGGATCTGCTGAGTTCCCCATTGAAGTCCCTGAACGTACTTCACACACTGCAGGCCTGGCAGGTCTGGAAGAGAAAACCAGAGAAAAATCTCTTTGTTATTAACAGTTTATTTACAGAATCCTTTGCTAGCTTTTTTATTTATTTTAAAAAATTGTTTTCTTTTATTGATTCTAGAGAGAGGGGAAGGGAGGAAGAAAGAGAGGGAGAGAAACATCAATCAGTTAACTCTTGTACACGCCCCAGCCAGGACAGAACCTGCAACCCAGGCATGTGCCCTGACTGGGAATTGAACCTACGACCTTTAGGTTTGCAGGATGACACCCAACCAACTGAGCCACACCAGCCAGAGCCTTTGCTAGATTTTTAAATATATCCATTTATTCCTCTTCCCAAATTAAACAAGAGCTCAAGCTTCCTGTTGAAAAGGACTTTCTAGAGCAAGGATAAATGACAAACCAGTTCTAAGTTTTCAGAAGCAATGCTCTCAAGAAAGAAACATTACATAATTATTCTTACTTATCATCCACTACATTTGTATCCTCACACTTAAAAACTACTGGCCCTGAGCCAACAAATACACATGTAATTCAATGCCACAGCAGAATATAGTTCAATAAATCATTGCTCCAGTTCACTATCTGTGCAACTATAAAGAAAGTAAAATTATTTCAAGAAGTGAGCACTTTACTGTTTACCTGTGGGAAAGAGGCCATTGTATTTGTCAGTTGACAAATATTTTACCATCCTCCTGTGAGTTTTCCACCATTATAATAATTATCCAACCAATGGTGGTAAATTTCACAGGCACAAACTGTGGCTCACAGTCTTGCCAGTCTTGTCTTAATTATTTGCCTGCAGCCTGATTTTAGTCTTGAGTCCTGTAATAATTTAAGGGATAACACCAGCCACTTAGCTCATTGTACCATGATTTCTGTATTGGGGAAGGTGTGAAAAAAAAAAAAGAGTGGTTCTAATGAGTGCTGGAAAAGGTTCTTTTAAAAAAAAATTAAAGTAAGAGGCCTTTGAAAGCATTGCTTTACAGCCACTAAAAGGTTAAAAAGTCAACATGAAAACATCATGGATTGCAACATGGTTCAAAAGTAACTTTTCAAATTGAGAACACATGACCTTCTTGCTGTCTGGTGTGAAACCCAAGAAAAACTGAATGAAATACAATGCAGGAAAGATGAAGTGCCTGTAAATGTAAGAAGGTGGTAAGAGGAGGCTGCTTTTTAAAGTCCTTTGATCCTCCATGATATTACTGTAAAGCCCTTCAACTTACATTTAATTAATCACTGATTTATCATTCTGTTTAAGTGATGTCAATGATGATTGCAATAATTTTCCTTCTCTTTTTCTATAAAATACAACTGAGAAATATTTTGAAAGCACCAAGCTAATCCTCACAGAGTAACAGAACCAGTCAGTGTTCTTTAAAAAAAATAATAATGGGAATAAATGAATCATTCCTTTATAGAGAAGTACCAAATTTGATCAATGAATTGAAACAAAAACAAACAAACAAAAAAAGAAACAAAGGAGCATCTCTAATCTGTATTTCAATTTTGATTACCCCAGTCCACACATTAACATCCCCTACTACCTACAGCTCATTATCCAGGCTTGGGACCCAATTTTATTGAGTTTGAATTTCACTGATAAGGGTAAAAGAGTTTCTGCATGAAACTCCACAGAAACAAAAAGCTCCTCCAGGTCAGATTCATGGCTCATTAAAACTTTATCTTGTGAACTCTACATTACTTTTGTCTCCTTTCATACCACACACCCCCTTTTCCACCTCACTCCCCTCTAAAGTGGCTTTTTCCCCCCAAAGAAGGCTTGCCTTCAAAAAAAATTCAGGGAAGAAAGAAAGGTGGATAGATGGACTCCACAGTAAAAAAAAAAAAAAAAAAAAAAAAGTTGGAACATAAAGATCAGGGGATACAAAAGAATAAACAGCAAAGAAAGGACACACACTTAACAGGCTTCACTTTTCCTGCCAATACAGGTGCATTTGTGTTTTAAACATACTCAGCTTATGGGGAGGATTCTGAAAAGCAGAACAAGAATAAGGGAGTGTGTGTGTGTGTGTGTGTGTGTGTGTGTGTATGTGTGAGAGAGAGAGGGAGAGAGAGAAAGAGAGAGAGAGAGGTAGGGAGAGAGAGAAAGAAGTGCACAAAACAGGGTGGAGGAAAAGAGGGAAACAAGTGAAATGTAAACTTCTGGAAATTAGTCTCTGTCTTATCTTTGTATTCCAACAGGACAAGTCACATGGTAGATGTTTAATAACACAGGCTGAAGGAGTGAGTATACTATTTCCCAATGATCTTAAGAACCACCTGGGACACTTACTATGAATGTAGGTTTGTAGGCCCTGGACCAGAGCCACATAATCAGAATATGTAGGGGCGGTGCCTAAGGAGGCTTTAAACAAGCCCCGCCCCATTCCACCCAGCCCAAGTGTTCCTAATGCACAGGCAAGTTTGGAAGACAATGACATAATCAAAATGTTACCTACAATGATCGCTGGGATGAGCTGAGGTCTCTAGGTCCTGAAATGTACTTGAGTTGTAAATGAATCATTTTCCCACTAAACACTGCTTTATACCCATTCAAAAATGCTAGGCAGGAGGTAAGGACATAACCTGAGACTCTTGGTGTCAGGAAAAAAAATGTTATGAAAATTATCCCAATGCAAGCTGCCTGGAAACTTCCTGCCCACTGTGGCCCTTCCGGGAGGATTCTAGTTGAAGATAACATTAGGAGTAGGGCATACTTGAGACTAGGTTCTAGGCTGTCCAGGTAGATGTCCTCCCATGACCTGGCTGCACTGAGTGGAGGAGAGGGTCCAGCACCCAACAAATATTGGGCCCAGGACAGAGGAGGCCCATGCTCCACAACTCACTGGCCATTTACTTTGCAGTAAGGTCCCTTGGGACTAGACTACCTAATCTGCAAATGGGACAGAGGCCATGGGGACTTGATTAGGAGGTCTCTAAAGTCTTTTCAAGCTCTAAAATACAGTGCTTCTGCTCACAGTCCCAGGTGTGTCATTTTTCTGCCCCTCTGCTAGCCTGATACTCACAGGCACTTGGAAGATGGGATACTGCAGCTGCTTAGGACCATAAAAATGACTGTTCAGAGAAAGACCAATGAAACACTAAGTCCAGTGTCCCGCCTGACAGTGTCCAAAGGGGATGGTCTCTCTATGGGTACTTCATAAATGTTTCCTTTCTTGCCAGCCTTAATAGAGTTCCTCCAACTGAAGGGGGCTAGTAAATTTCAGAACGGGGTTTCAGAAAGAAAAGGTGCAGACTTTGCAGTAAACACAAACTTTTTGAAAGCTATGCTACTGGATTTAAAAGACTAGAGGAAGAATAATACCCATGTCCCCTGAAGGCACAGACTTTTGTAGAGTGACATAAAGTTGCAGAAAGGAAAGTAGAAACCTCAACAAAGTATCCCCCTCCTCTAGGCTGAGTTTCTGGTAGCAGCCCACCCACAAGAAGTGGTTTCTGGAGCTCCCACAACTGTGCTGAGTTAGTCGCCATTCTTCACTTTTGCCCAGACACCCCCCTGACCACTGAAAGCTCTTCAGTGCCTGAGCCCTGGTAGGCACTGCCCAATCCCCTACTGAGCAGAGAAAACCCAGAGCCCGAGGCCGACGCCCTTACCTGGGGTAAAGAGCACGATCCCCTTCAGGTAGGCGTACTCCTTGGAACTGATGCCCAGGCTCCAGCACTTTGCAAGGAAGCTCTTAATAGCTTGGACCTCGGTGGCTGATGGCAAACGCCCGGCCTCTGTCAGCTGCACCAAGTGTTGCTGCATCCTACGGAGAGACTGCGGCTCGTCGCCCGCGGTCTCCCGCCGCCTGGCGGTGAGGATACTCTGCAGCCGACGGGGCTCCGAGGTCTCCATGGTCTCGAAGTTCACGCGATCCTGGGCCAACTCCAGCATGAGTAGCGGCGCCCAGCCGCTGCGCACCAGCACCAGCTGCTGGTCCAGGGGCAGAACCTGGAAACAGGGTAAGTACTTGACGAAGCGCATCGTCTTCAAGAGGCTCGCGGAGGCTGCCTCGCAGACCACCTGTGGACTCTTGAGGGTCACCCGCCGCTGTGCGCCACACGAGGGGTTCCACCAGGGGGCCCCCAGCAGCACTCCCGGCTGAGCCGCGTGCGTTTGTTTTGAGCTCGTGGGCATGTTGTAGAGGATGCTGCCCTGCCGTGGGTGGTTTTTACCGCAAAAGCAGCAGCGGTACATGAGCGCCGTGGCCTGCCCGTCCGGCAGCCCCTCTCTGCCCGCGGGGGTATCCGAGCCGCAGGAGCAGCCCCAGCACACGCCCGCCAGCCGTGCCTTGGACCCCTCGGGAGCTTCTTGCGTTTGTTTTGCGCTCGTGAGCATATGGTAGAGGATGCTGCCTTGACGTGGGTGGTCTTCACCGCACAAGCAGCAGCGGTACAGGACTGCCAGTGGCCGCCTGTTCTGCTGCCCTTCTCTGCCCGCCGGGGGCTCCGCGCCACAAGAGCAGCCCAGGCACGGGCCCCTCAACCGCGCCTCCGGCTCCTCCTTTACTTCTGAAGCTTCGTGCATTTGCTTAGCGCTCATGAGCATGTTGTAGAGGATGCTGCTCGGCCACTGATGATCCTCACCCGCCATGGCCGCGGTGCCCGCAGCCTGTCCAGTGGCCGGCTCCTGGGATCTATTTATACTGAGCGCGCACGCACGCGCGTCGGCCGTCTCCGCCCGGGCAAGGGCGTGGAGGGGGGCGCGGCACTGCACTTCCGAGCTTTGGGTCGTGACTTTGACCGTTCAAACAGGGCAGATGCTCCTTAAAGACTGGAAATGGAAGAGAAACGGAGGCATGAGAGCTTCTGGGCACTTCCCTTTTTCCTCTCATTACACCCTTCCCTGCTTCTGGAAGACCAGAGCAGAGCGCAAGGAACAGATATTTGGGGCACTGTTCCAACTCTTTCCATTGATTCCTGGCATCTAATTTGCTCCCTTTATTGGAAGGGTAGGGGTGCCTGAAAGGGGGAAAAAATCCTGTCATCTCTGCAAACTTTCATTGAATGATCAAACTTTATATGACTTGTATTTTGTATATGGATAAGGAAGCCTCATTTTCAGGGACCTTGAAAAATACAGACCATGGGAACTTGGTAGAAATGCCCAACCTCAGGCCCCAACCAGAACTTCTGACTCTGAATCTGCATTTTTAACAAGGTTCCCAGGAGATTTGCACGCTCCTTAAATTTGGGAAAACACTGGTCTAAGGATGCTGTCATAAACATTTTTTTATTAATTCAACTAATATTTATGAGCACCCACTCTGTATTAGATGCTGTGTTAGAGAACTGGGGACAGCGGTCAGGATGTCAAAGTGGCTAATATTTGGGGATATAATAAGGGGCTAAAGATTCAGTGAAAACTTTGAATTCTTTTAGAGGTACTATATTGGGCAGATGTGTAATTCACATTTCTTCTCCCACTCTTTGTGAGTAATGAGAAACACAGGTTTCAGGAAACCTGGATCCTTTGGTCCTCACTTGCCCCCTTCTTTGAGTTCCATACAAGTGCTGAAAGCAGTGGATTTCTCCATGTTACCACCTCCCCCTTGTGTAACTAGCTGTTTGTTTCACCGACCAGTTGAGTAACTTCAAAATCACAACTCTTTAGCCCTCAAATTCCTCATCTTTAAAATGGGATGTTTATTTAGTGATCTCTTGGGTTCAGGACTGAAGACATGGAGCATTAAAAGGGACTGCTGTGTACCTCTGGTATATGATCCTCTTTCTCTCTCTTTTTTTTTTAAGTTTCTCTGAAAACCTGGAATTATGAGCATACGAGGAAAACCTAGGAGACATATATTTTGCATTCAGCCTGGAAATTTATTCTGCCTGTAAGAGGCCCTATAACACAGTGGTTAAATCTCTAAACACTGACACCAGATTGCCTCAATTTTAATCCTGGCCCTGACACTTTGTAGGTCCCTGGCCTTGGGAAATATATTAATTTCCTATTGCTGTTGTAACAAATTACCACAAATTTAGTGACTTAAGTGACAAATTTATTATGTTACAGTTCTGGAGGCCAGAACTCTGAAATCAGTTTCACTGGACTAAAATCAAGGTGACATTTCTTCCAGAAGCTCTAGGGGAGAATCTATTTCCCTGCCTTTTCCAGCTTCTATAAGTTGCCTGCATTTCTTGGCTCCTGGCCACATCACTCAGACTCGACTTCCATCTTCTTTCTGACTCTTTTAAGGATTTTTATAATTACATTAGGTAAACCCAAATAGATAATCTAGAATAATTTCTTCATCTCAAATTTTTTCAATCACATCTGCAAAGTCCCTTTTACCATGTAAGATAACATATTCACAGGTTCCAAGGATTAGGACTTAGACATCATAGGGGAGCATTATTTAGCCTTTCACAGGAAAGCTACTGTACCTCAGTTTCCTTATTTGTCAAACATGGACAATAGTCTATGTAAGGTAATCCTTGTACATGTGTTAATTTATATAGAATGTTTGCTTCGTTACAAAAATGTTGGCTGTCTCAACCATTATGCTCCCCTCCCTTTTTTAATAATGTGAAATAATTTCAGGTTTAGGAGGTGATACAATACATCAGCACCACCATTATTCTACCTCTCCTAAGAAAACCCATCCTCACCCTCCACCCAGAAGCTGTCACATTTTCTTCTGCACGTCCACATTTCTCAGCCCAAGCTCAAAACACTGGATGGGTTGGTTACCTGATCCACAATAGTAATGGATATTGGAAATGTTATCTTATTGCCCATTTCATCATTTGCCATTTCTAACATTTGAGCTACAATTTTGGGTATGGTTATTGTTGTTTCTACAGCCTTCCTGCTTTGTGAAGCCACCAGCCAGCTGAAAACCCAGCCTACATCAGTTCTACATTAAGCTGCCAATGCTAGTTATTTTTAACTGTTACCCCATTTTATTTTCTTCTTAACCCTTATCAGAATCTGATAAGATTGATTTATTTAGTTATTTGATACTTGTTGATTGTCATCTCCCCACTGGTATAAAAGTCCCTTGAGGCAAGGAATAAGTCACTCTGTACCCCAACAACTAAAGCAATGTCTGGCATGCAGTACTCAAAAATATATTTGTTGGCTGCCCATATCTTTACAGGGAGAGGAAAAGGCTACAGTTTGTATTCTAGACACAGAGAACAAGCATTCCCACACAACTATTGCTGCAGTGAGTCTAAAGGGAGGAGAAGCTAGCAGGCCCCATTGGACTCAGAACTTCCTGGAAGCACTTTTTTTTTTTTTTTTTTTTTTTGATGTTCAGAGTGCCTCAGGCACTGTAGTAAAGTAACAAGAGGACTGAGTTAACAGTAAAAAGACATGACTTTGAATTTGGCCTCTTTCACTCTAATGATATAACATTGAATAACTCATGTAACTTCAGCTTTCACACTTGTGACATGGGGAAAAATACTATACACCAATATTGATCTGTACACCCTCAGCCTTTCAATGGTTGTTTTTCTCTCAATATATTCCTTTACGTAAACATTTGCTGACCTCTTAATTACATTGAAAATATAAAGCAACTTAAGTTTACACTCATTCACTTTCTAAAGATTTAACATCAAGCATTTAACATTATATTAGACTTTTCAGCTATGAAGTCAGAAAAAGATGCTATAAACTATTTAAATATATGCACCCTAAACCTGTATAATTCAAGGGTTTTTCTAAATCTCTTATAACTCTATTTTTAAAAGTCCTAGTAACTTAAACTCATTTTTTGTAACTTTAATCATTCATACCTTGCACTTATTAGATGCCTTTGACTTTGATTTTCAGACATTGTCTCAAATTGAAAGTTCAATATAGTGCTGAGAACCATGCACTTGTAATATATTGGTTATAATTCTGTTCCTTCCCAGGAGAAGAGTCTTCTGATTATTTTTTACTTGTGGTTTGTTTGTTTGTTTGTTTGTTTGAAGTTGTGATCCTCTATTTGCAACTCTGAAGGACTTTCTAGGTTCTTTGGATTGACTGTTTCTAAGAAGAGATTGCCTGCTTGTCCTTCACAAGTATTCATCTTTGGAAATGTCAAGAGAAAACTGACTTCATCTTTACACTTTCCATTTTTTCCCTGAATGAATAACTCCTGAGAAACAAAATCGTCTAAACACATCAGTAATGCCAACTTACTGGTTGCTACAGTGAAGACATAACCTTCTAAGGCAGACACAGGCTTCTTCATTTGATTTGTTCCCTGTCCTTAGACCACTGTGACAGCTAGACAAAAAGACACTCATCAGCTGCACCTGTCATGTGCCGAGTTTGTCCACAACTGCAATTTGGATATTTACACTGAGTCATTGTTCGATGACCTTGGTCAGTTGGACACCTGCTCTTCAGGATCCATTATCTGTCCCAACTCAGGGTGGGAGTACAGCTGCTCTGCCTCCCTGCATGTAACCTTCAATGTCAAAGCAATGCAGTTTTCACTAAAGGATATAGGCATGAAGTACAGGTGGGGATAAAGCCGAGTAAAATTATAAAACTGACCTTTGCACAGCAAGCCGCTCTTGACCTGGGAAGGCTCAATGATCTGAAACCTGATATGAATTTTCAATCCAGGCTGCGAAGAACTGGAATGCCTCAGAATTCAGCTCCTTCAGTAAACAGGTGACAGGGAGTAACAGCAGGGTTTTCCTGATTTTCAAGGTAAATATTGGGTAAACACTATTGTAGAAGAATAGTGGCTGATAAAATCCAAGAGATAGCCTTCCTCCTTTTCCTTTCCAAAACCCAGATGTCTAAAGCTGTTTTTTTGTGTGTGGAAGAATTAATAGGCTTTAGTTGCTGACTCATGAAACCCCTGAAGACAATCTAGTCATCATTATTTATTTCCCTTTGAATGAGCTACAAAGAAGGCCTTAGGGGTCACATAGTTGCTGAGCTGGAATAATGACACACATAGCCACAGTAATTTGCAAATTTTCTAAAATCAACTTTCTAAATCACTCAAACGACCACTCCATTCAAGGAAAAATGTCTACCAAACCAATCTGTTTTACTGCATCTACCAATTTTGAATCCATCTCAATACCAAATGTTGATCAAATTGTCTAATTAATACATGTAATTGACCGGTTAAAAAATGATTGCTCCATTGGTTGCCAAGGTACTAAAACTGATTTGACTGGTTACTTTGAAAATCACTGCTCTCTTGGTCCATATAACTATGTCCCCTAATGGTGATGGTAATGTTACAGACTCCTGCTGTACTGAAGTCTGGAGTTGTTGTAATATCTCCCTCCCAGGAACTTGCTTTCTTTTCCTCTCCAACTTTTCTCACAACTTATTTCCCACAATCATTATACTTACAGTGCCTTGTATATTGCTTGGAATATTAAAAACACTCAAAAACAACTCTTAATAAAATAGTGAGTGAAAGGTTTCTTCCACTTTACTAGGTTGCCCAACCTTTTTTCCTTTCCCATGGTTTGTGTGTATTTTAACAATCTTGCCAGCCCTGGTGGAAAGACCCTAAGTCCCTTCTGCTAGTTTGATAATCTCAAAATTGAGAGTAAATATTTTATCCGTGTGTACTTCACAAAGTTGTCAAATGTATGTAATGATTAACCATGCCTCAC